ATAAAAAATCGACTAAGCCGACTAAGCCGATAAAATTTTATCGGCTTAGCCAGTCGAAAAATTTTGATCGGCCAGGAACACTAGCTACAGTAACCTAATGCTACAAATATATTAATCCAATATTTTATATTCATGATTTTAATTCCAATGATAATCATGATTCTAATGTTAATAAATCATCTTTATACTCGCGCAATATTTGAAAAATTAAGTATTTTATGAATGATTTTTATGCTTATGGTTATGATTCAATACCACTTATTTACAATTACTGTAATTTTTTTTATCGTTATCTAAATGTTCTTCAAATAATTTCATTCGCATTAATTTATTCTGTAAGTGTAAAGATAATTTATTAATGCTAATTAGTGGAATTAAAATTATGAACATAAAACGTTTTCGTAAATATTTTCTCTAAACACTTAAGTTGCCGAAATAATTATTTGTTGGGAGTAATAATATTGGATATACAGGTGTCAATAAAATAGTTGGTAAAATTTACCTAAACCATTGGAGTACTGGTATGCTATATGATACAAAGTGCAGGACTATAACGCACTAAAAAAAATTTAGCATAGCCGATAGTAATTAATTTATTATAAAAATTAAAACGTTTTAACTTCTGTTCTAAATGATATGTTAAGAGTATGATTTTAAAACTACTGTATATTGAGACATTTTCTAAATTATAAATTAATAAATTTTAATGGTAAAATATTCATTATTTATCGTTATATAAAGACCTATTAAAATTTATATATTAATAATATTAAATAAGGTCCAAATCTACTCAGTATAATTTTTCTTCTTAATTACTATGATATTACTATCAGAGTTTATCACAAACAATTATTTATAATATATAACTCTTTAGTACCCGTGGGTAATGAGAAAAAACTGGCTAATTTATGAATAAAACTAAGGGAGTGTCTGGAAAAGCCTCATTATAATAATTTTCACCATATTTTAAACCAAATATATTGATTCTTAACGTCTTCTAAATGAGAAACCATAGAATAATATGAAGAACCCGTTAACAGGAAAATAAGTTTTAGGATCGAAATCTCTCAAATGTTTTAACTTATCCATTTCGTCATGATCTCCAAAATCAGAATATGCACATTATTGATTAGCAACTTCATCTTGAGTGTTTTCGTCTATTTGAAATAATTTTAATAAATCTGTCACCGAGTGTTGTCAGCTCCAAGTTAAATTGAATTTATCTTCAAATTTTGCTCTAAAGTTCATAACTACATTTTCTAAACCGCTAACTCCAGTATTATAAGAGAGAACAGTCTTTTTCAATCTATCTCTCTCATCTCTCTCACTTAAGCTAGTAATTTTATCAGAAGAAGAACCAGAATTATTATCTTCCTTATAAGTATCTTTTTCCTTAATAATCGAGAACTTTTTTAGAAATATCGACAGGAAACCTAATAGTGTCATCATAAATAGCAATAGGACAATACCATTGACTCTACTTCTTTCAGACTGTAAAGAAATTTGAATCAGTACTTCGTAGTCTGTTAATAAAATATAAAGAAGTTCTAATTAGTCAGTAGCACCAGAATAATCGAAACTATCTCTACAAGACATTAAATCGATTTATTAATAAGAGTCAAAATAAGATCGTCAACTGAATTGTCTTATTCGCCTATATAAAAAATCGTATAACAATGATAACTAATAAAAATAAACATAAATTTTTATCATCTGATCACGTATTATTTACTCACGTACGATTTACTCGCGTATTATGCACTACTTTTTAACTTTTTTAAAACCTATTTTTACGTTGAAACACGCGATACGGAAAAGTAAGTATCGATTAATGTTAATGTGTTGCAACTAATACTTTTTTTTAATAGACTTGAGAACTACTGGTCCTGCATGAGGGATCGGTTACGTATCTTTCTCGAGCTGTTTAAAAAAAGTATTATATTGCATACTTTTCAATCGCTCACCTAACACTTCCGGCGTATTTTTCAGACAAAAGTTTGAAAATACATCGGAACTGTTATGAACTCCGTAATGTTTTGATTTATTTCCACGAATCGTGAAATTATTAGAACATTGCGGATAGGTTCACATGGGCACGTTGATTTGTTAGGCACGTACGAAATTCGTTTCGTTTAACAAGTCAAAAGCTGCCGTGGGTCCGTACCATTTTTTGATATTATTTCTACGAATCGTGAAATTTTATCAAATTATGTTACGAAGGCTAGCATTTTTGGATCTGTTACACGAATCGTTGAACAGGGCAAGAGTGACTAGCGATATTCTTAGATATATTTCTACGAATCGTGAAATTTATCTGGAGTATCAGCATTGGAAGCGTGGAATATGGGATAGATAAAGTGTCGGGAGAACTTTAGATATACCTGTTGTTTTCACTGAGTTAATTGATTTTATTTAGTACTTTTATACTAATCTCCCTTTTATTTATATATATATATATCTAGTGTTTTTGTCAAGTACCTTCAAGGTTTAACTTATATATAACCTACGAACGATTTATTTGACGAGCTGGATAATTTATATTATTCTTTAACCGGCTAAAAGTAGAATATTCGGTAAGATAAACAATTTAAATCTTATTATTCAAGATACCGTAATTCCTATTATAAATTTATTACCATAATGGTCCACATAATTTTTGATCCTTGTTTATTTTTTATTGTTAGTGATTTCCCTCGAATTTTGGTGGTGCTTCCTTCGTCATTTTTATTGTGTTTCCTTCGTCGTTTTGGTGGTGTTTCTTTGTGCTTCCTTCGTTTTGGTGATGTTTTTTTCGCCATTTTAGTGTCTTTCTTTGTCTTTTTGGCGGTGTTTCTTTCGTTGTTTTGGTGGTGCCTCCTTCGTGTTTTGTTTCGTTGTTTTTGTGGGATAAACATCACTTCATCGACGCTCACTTTGAGATGTTGTAGGCGGACTTGGGTTTCAAAGAGATCCCTAATTGACTTAAATTAATTTCTAAAATAACTTAAAATAGAATTTGAAAAAACTATCGAAATAAAATTTTATGCGTATCTATGTATAATTAAAAGATTATTCATTATTATAATATTTTCCTATTTGGATGGCATCCAATACTACATAACAAGTTGGAACGTCTATGAACTTTACATAAAATATGATAGAGACGATTAAAATGACATATAGTACGAATTAATTTTGATCCGTTTTCATTCTTGGCAACTGTAATAATTTGAGTATTTGGATTGTTTTCAGTTCCCAATTTTAATCCAATGCTTACCTTTAAAAATTTCCATGTTATTAGGTTCAAGAATAACCGATCATAATTGCGAAATAAAAGTTTTGCGCATCTTTTAGTAATTTTCTCATCAAGGTATTTATTAATTTAATTATTATTTTTTTTTTTTAGTTGAGAACAATTGAAAGATACGACAAATTCAGTTATAATTATATCGCTTTAATATGATCATTGATTAATTAAAAGATTTATATAATTTTTCCATTTGCATGAAATCCCGTCTTCATTTTAAGATCCGAATCCACCTACAACATAGGCATACCTCTTCACCTACAATCAATTCACCGACAGGCTTGTATTTTAACTTTTTAAAAAATTACTTTTATTTTAAAATTTTATATAACTTTTTGCAAAAAAATTTACTATTCTTCTATACTTCTGATTCTAAAGTTAAACTTCAGATTGATCAATCGCACTTTCTCGCATGTACAGGGAGATATGAAGGATTAAATTAATCAAAAATTGAATTGGACATTTCCTGATATCTTGGTGATATATTCACGAATCAATATGCTGGAAACATTTAATTGAGAAAAATTATTGGATAAATATCAATACTTTATACGAAATATGGCATTGGCACACTTGGGCGAAATGGAAATCCTATTCTGGACCCTGCATTGGAAACAAGTATTAAAAACTGGTTCAAGAAAGCAATTAGGATTTTAAAATATCAGGTGGAAAAGGTAATAATAGTCGTAACAGGATCATCAAGGGATTGATGTGATCTAAAAATTATTATCGCGGCTGAAGCTGGAAATTTTAAATATTTTAATATGAAATTTACAAAAATTTTTGGTATGCATTTTGTTCGATTTTTTTTTATAGTTAGATTAGAATTTAGGGTTAGGGTTTATAATAAAAGAGTAGGGCTTATAGTTTTAAATTGAGACCTCTAATTTCCAGATTCAGCCGCGACAATTATTAATAAAGTGCGTCTTGGGTTCTCGGGTTAAAATCGAATAATTGACTAACGTCAAGTTTGTCCAATCAATATTACGTGAACTAGGAAATCCCTTTGGCCTGGCAATGCTGTGTTGATACTGGTCATTTCTGTATCAGTAGAAATTGCCTTAATTTTTAAGAGACGCTGAATAAATAAGTGTTACGGAAGATTCTCGATTATATTGTAACAATCCTTTTTACAATTTGATTTTTCTAAGAAAACTTTGATAGAAGGTTGCTATACTGTATATTCCGAAAGGACGGTAGTCACAAGAACATACTGCTTAATCAAATCTATAAAATTTTTTAATATAATTCTAATCTTACTGAATTGAATATAAAAAATTTAAACAAAAATCCTCAATAAATAAATCATAATGTACGAAAACATAAAATCCCAAAAAATGAAAGGATTATGTTATTTGTCACAAACGTGATAGTGGCTTATATATCACTTTTTGTGGTGCGAACAAATCAGATTTCAAGATCAGGTGTAACGTAACACGATTCAGAAAAATTCAAAACAAATTATGATTAATTTTTCGTTATATTATTCACACTACTTTTAATTTAAACTAATTTTGTTTTAATGAATTTGAGATTAAGTAAAACGTGCGGTACGGAACACTTAAAGCCACGTTACGAATTGGAATTGGAAAAAATAAGAACGAAAAAGTAAGTATCAATTAATGTTTGTGTTGCAACTAATACTTTTTTTTTATAGACTTGAGAACTACCGGTCCTGTATGAAGGATCGGTTACGTAACTTTCTCGAGCTGTTTAAAAGAGGTATTATATTTACATACTCTTCAATCGCTCACCTAACACTTCCGGCGTATTTTTCAGACAAAATTTTGGAAATACATCGGAACTGTTATGAACCTCGTAATATTTAATTTATTTCTACGAATCGTGAAATTTTTAGAATATTGCGAATAAGTTCACATGGGCACGTTGATTTGTTAGGCACGTACGCAAATCGTTTCCGTTTAACAAGTCAAAAGTTGCCGTGGGTCCGTACCATTTTTTG